CCCTCTTCAGCTTTCTAAATATTTGTACAGCGTGACCAGCTCAAACCGTGTAAGTCAGTCTTGTTCCCTTGCAGGCCCTGCGCTGTGAACGAACACAAGCACACAGCATTGGTCTCTACCCAGCTCAGAACACAATGCTCACCGCTGTTGCATGTGAAGGAGACTGTCTTGAACAGTGTTGCAGGTGCTTAAATGAACACTATGAGAAACATGTATTCCTGACCGTATAGTGTTAAAAACACAATCTAGTGTTTACGGCAAAAAGCCTCAACGAAATGATTCTACTCACCAGAACAAATGCAATAATCTGTAGTTGTTCTGGTGACTATAGTTTCCCTTTAATTACAAAGGCTGGAGTCTCATACATACCACAAAGTTTGTCTAATGATATATTTTGATTGTTGGACAGTTTTGTTGTTGTTTTTTTAATAAAAGGTCATTTTTATTTTTAAAAACGAATTTGAAATTGCTACGTTAATACAAACAAATCGATCAAAATGAATACAAAGTTAAAAACTCACATTTGATGTGCATGCATTTGCTAAAATTTCCAGGCTGTACGGCTCTTATAACGGCCAGTGACAAAATTAGCAAGAGATTGATACTCACCTATCTTTCTATATCACAACTGAGCCTGTCCAATAAGCAGTGTTTTGGGGGTACAGCAAGGGTTTATGGGAGTTATAGTTCACGTGTCAACTTACTACTGTAGATAGCTTACAGACAAACTACAACTCCTAGAAAGCCAAGTCCTTACTTAATGTGCTTACAAGTACATCAATATTTTGTCAACCGTCACCATCTTCAGATATTAGAATGTAACTATCAGCAATTGCATTAATCTCGATGATCCAGGATAAATCATGTCGGCCTCTATGCAGAGGATAGAATGTTATGCGTCTTTATTATTACATGACACTCCATGGTGGGTGCAATCTGTTTTGATTTGATTATTTTATAAAAGAGAAGAAAACGTTTATCCGCAAACATTTAAATGGTTCTGTCAGTGGTTGTATACTGTGAGAGAGTGGTAACATTACGTAAGACATGAAGACACAAGGAGCAGTTTATTTCATGCTTTACAAACAGCAATGGGGGACGAGGATTGCACATACGCCTGTCCACACATCTCAGATTGCGGTTCAATAATTAGTTTCTAAGTAGGGCTGTCGTCACCTCTGTGATCAAGAGATGTCTCAACAGGTTTATTTGATTATATATAAATATATACACAGACTGGTGCATGAGCCTATTTGTCAGTTACATAACATACCTGTAATTTGTTCCTAAACTGTACAGAAATAAATATAATCCCTTCCCCAAAATAAAGAAGGGTCTGTTGCCGTATATTCCTTAGTGGCATTTAAAGGGGAACAAATACCCTCACAGGGTTAACCATTACATCACTATATCTTAACTAATGGGAACAGTCTACATATCATATAGTCCCATGAGACCCCCCCATCTTTTCCTCTTTCCTGTTGATGCCGAAACACTTAAGAACAACAAATAACACATTAATTGAAACATCAAAACTAGGCCGAAGTCCAGGCGACTATTGTTTCCTAGGGAGAGCTGAATCTTATAGAACTGATCCTCTCGAACTGTGGAAGATGTCGATTTGCCAGTTGTCTTATAACTTTTCAGGCTAGAGGGGAACAGAGAGAACAAATGGTAAAATATGTTCCCATAACTATTTTCTTATTATCATAATAGTGAAACCATCAACTGATATATTCCTTTATATTTATATTTCCTGTGGAACATCTGGTACGATCCAGGGTCCTAGGATCACACCTAGGACTAAGGATTACGCCTAACCGGACCTTAGAATGGCTGGACTTAACATACTGGAGAATAGTCAAAATACTTGTCGAGGTCAGGGACACAGAACGAGACACAGCGATGAGGAAAGCCAGAAGTCAAGGATGCCAGAAATCAGGGAAACAAAGCCAAACTCAAATAACAGAAAAACGCAATCAGGAACACACTCTCAGATAACCAGCTAGTGGAAACCACGACTGAAAAAAAAGGCAATTTGGGTTTAAATAACCCTCTTTAGGCTGTAGTTGACTGTTTTTGACCTCTGAACCCAAAGCATTCGTGCACATCTATGAGGTGATGTTGCACACACATTGGCGCCATCTTTGATGTGGGCAGAGGTAAGTTTCCAATTAAAACCAGAACAAAAGTGGCCGGCATCTTTAGGAACGCCGTACTCGCTGGGGACTGGGATAGGAGGTCGAGCAGCGGTTTGCCGTGACCAAGGTAAGTATCTGATTTTTCTGTCGGCGCAGCCACTTTGTTTTAGTGCTGTCCCACTGAAAGAATCGCGGGGAGCCGTAACACTGTGAGAATCAAACACTGAGCTGGGGAATCTGCCCATTCACTCTGAGAATCCAAACACTGAGCCGGGAATCTGCCCATTCACTCTGAGAATCAAACACTGAGCCAGGAATCTGCCCATTCACTCTGAGAATCAAACACTGAGCCGGGGAATCTGCCCATTCACTCTGAGAATCAAACACTGAGCCGGGGAATCTGCCCATTCACCCTGAGAATCCAAACACTGAGCCGGGAATCTGCCCATTCACTCTGAGAATCCAAACACTGAGCCGGGAATCTGCCCATTCACTCTGAGAATCAAACACTGAGCCGGGGAATCTGCCCATTCACTCTGAGAATCAAACACTGAGCCGGGGAATCTGCCCATTCACCCTGAGAATCCAAACACTGAGCCGGGAATCTGCCCATTCACTCTGAGAATCCAAACACTGAGCCGGGGAATCTGCCCATTCACTCTGAGAATCAAACACTGAGCCGGGGAATCTGCCCATTCACACTGAGAATCCAAACACTGAGCCGGGGAATCTGCCCATTCACACTGAGAATCAAACACTGAGCCGGGGAATCTGCCCATTCACTCTGAGAATCAAACACTGAGCCGGGGAATCTGCCCATTCACACTGAGAATCCAAACACTGAGCCGGGGAATCTGCCCATTCACTCTGAGAATCAAACACTGAGCCGGGGAATCTGCCCATTCACACTGAGAATCCAAACACTGAGCCGGGGAATCTGCCCATTCACTCTGAGAATCCAAACACTGAGCCGGGGAATCTGCCCATTCACACTGAGAATCAAACACTGAGCCGTGGAATCTGCCCATTCACTCTGAGAATCCAAACACTGAGCCGGGGAATCTGCCCATTCACTCTGAGAATCCAAACACTGAGCCGGGGAATCTGCCCATTCACACTGAGAATCAAACACTGAGCCGGGAATCTGCCCATTCACTCTGAGAATCCAAACACTGAGCCGGGGAATCTGCCCATTCACTCTGAGAATCAAACACTGAGCCGGGGAATCTGCCCATTCACACTGAGAATCCAAACACTGAGCCGGGAATCTGCCCATTCACTCTGAGAATCCAAACACTGAGCCGGGGAATCTGAATCTGCCAATTCACTCTGAGAATCAAACACCGAGCCGGGGAATCTGCCCATTCACTCTGAGAATCCAAACACTGAGCCTTCACTCTGAGAATCCAAACACTGAGCCGGGGAATCTGCCCATTCACCCTAAGAATCTGCCAATTCACTCTGAGAATCAAACACCGAGCCGGGGAATCTGCCCATTCACTCTGAGAATCCAAACACTGAGCCTTCACTCTGAGAATCCAAACACTGAGCAGGGGAATCTGCCCATTCACCCTAAGAATCTGCCAATTCACTCTGAGAATCAAACACCGAGCCGGGGAATCTGCCCATTCACTCTGAGAATCAAACACTGAGCCGGGGAATCTGCCCATTCACACTGAGAATCAAACACTGAGCCGTGGAATCTGCCCATTCACTCTGAGAATACAAACACTGAGCCGGGGAATCTGCCCATTCACACTGAGAATCAAACACTGAGCCGTGGAATCTGCCCATTCACTCTGAGAATCCAAACACTGAGCCGGGGAATCTGCCCATTCACTCTGAGAATCAAACACTGGGCCGGGGAATCTGCCCATTCACTCTGAGAATCCAAACACTGAGCCGGGGAATCTGCCCATTCACCCTGAGAATCCAAACACTGTGCCGGGGAATCTGCCCATTCACCCTGAGAATCAAACACTGAGCCGGGGAATCTGCCCATTCACTCTGAGAATCCAAACACTGAGCCGGGGAATCTGCCCATTCACTCTGAGAATCAAACACTGAGCCGGGGAATCTGCCCATTCACCCTAAGAATCTGCCAATTCACTCTGAGAATCAAACACCGAGCCGGGGAATCTGCCCATTCACTCTGAGAATCTGCCAATTCACTCTGAGAATCAAACACCGAGCCGGGGAATCTGCCAATTCACTCTGAGAATCAAACACCGAGCCGGGGAATCTGCCCATTCACCCTAAGAATCTGCCAATTCACTCTGAGAATCAAACACCGAGCCGGGGAATCTGCCAATTCACTCTGAGAATCAAACACTGAGCCGGGAAATCTGCCCATTCACCCTGGGAATCCAAACACTGAGCCGGGGAATCTGCCCATTCACCCTGGGAATCCAAACACTGAGCCGGGAAATCTGCCCATTCACCCTGGGAATCCAAACACCGAGCCGGGGAATCTGCCCATTCACCCTGGGAATCCAAACACTGAGCCGGGGAATCTGCCCATTCACTCTGAGAATCAAACACCGAGCCGGGGAATCTGCACATTCACTCTGGACTAACACCTTTATTAATATAATCCCTGGCAGTTTCCACACTAAACACGCTCTCTGACTCCACACTAGTATAGCTGGTCAATGTTCACTCAGAACTACAACTCCCGGCACGCACCGCGCTGAGATGACAGCCACCCGCCCTCAGCCAATCCCCCCAGTCGGAGCGGCTGGTCTGTCCAATCAGCGCTGCGGACAGGAAGGCCCGCGTGATTTGAACTAGACATACCGGAAGTGTCCGAGCGGAAGTACAGTTCATGGGGAAGGGGAGAGCGAAATGACAAATAATAACATCAACTAATAATAACAATAAAGGCCACTTATCGCTGCCAGTCCACCTGTACCGGTAAGTACCCGGCGCAGTGCCAATCCCAGCCATTGGTTTATTGTCCATACACACAATGGGAAGGGTGGGATCCTACAATGCCATCAAATGTCCTATAAATCGCACAGAGTGACTGTAATTATATTATATATTATTATTATTGTCCTTGACATTATTTATATTATTATTATATTATATTCCTTGACATTATTTATATATATTATATATATTATATTCCTTGACATTAATTATATATTATATATATTATATTCCTTGACATTAATTATATATTATATATATTATATTCCTTGACATTATTTATATTATATTATAGTCCTTGACATTTATTATATATTATATATATTATAGTCCTTGACATTATTTATATTATATATGTTCCTTGACATTAATTATTTATATTATTATTTATATTATATTCCTTGACATTATTATATATATTATATTCCTTGACATTTATTATTATTATTATTATATATATTATATTTCTCTGTCCGTATTTCTTCATTTATAAAACACTCTGCGAGAGCTGAGGATAAATATGATATTTTGGCTGTGAAGTGTGGCTATTGTATTGTAATATTATTATACACACGTCAATAATACAAGTGATCTGTGAATATTATTTATAACATTTGTTATTGGTGTGATCACTTCTAGTTTATCAGGTATTAAAAGTGTGATTATAAGGATTAATGAAGTGAAAGCATAACTGTAATTGGTGTGTTTATATGGGGCAATAAAGCAAACAGGTTGTTGAGTGTTGGGAATGCATTTACTGGTTTTGTTCATTCAGAAGATAAGCTTCACATAATGTTTTTGGTGCTAGACTGTTTAAACCGCTAACACTTGGAGTGTGTTTCTCATAGTGTCCTGCTCTCTGCAAATGTAAATATGTAATGCTGGTTATCTCCCCAGGTGCACATCTGGATATCTGAAGAATATGACAGCAGGAACCAATCCTGAGGAGGGGAATGTATCTGTGGTGGTCCGTGTAAGGCCCCCAAACTCTCGAGAACAAGAAGGAAATCAATCCTCTGTGGTACAAGTGGTGGATGATAGTATTTTGATTTTTGACCCAGATGAGCCAGACACATCTGGGGTGTTTTCCAGCTTGAAGGGATATGATGGGGTTAAACGCAAAGGGAAAGACTTGAAGTTCATATTTGATCGAGTATTTGGAGAGAATGCCACTCAGCAGGATGTTTTTGAGCATACTACCAAGGAGATCCTGGATGGAGTCCTAAATGGTTACAACTGCTCTGGTATTTAAATTTGTTTACTATTATTATTATTAATAACTTTTTTTGGCAGAAACTAGTAATAATGTGGAATCTTTGGTTATACAAATGTTATGATAGAAATTTAAAAAAAAACTTTATCGCAAAAGTGTCTTTGCTCTTTATGAAATGCATAAAGAAACAGAAATTTTATATATGTTTTTCTTTACTGCAATTTACAGTTATATTTTAGGAACAAGAGGTATCAGGTTTCTAGTGTTTTGTTATTTGAATTATATAAATTTTCATGTGTGTAACACATTTTGTTTAATAAGACACATGAAAGTACAAATTTAATTTACATTATTTTATAACTTGTCCATAGTACCTATGTCTCCATCTTTTCTTCTTACCGCTATATTGTTCTGTAAGTCTTTGAGTGACAAAGATAAACTTTGGGGAAAACACTGAGCTACACACACAGAGAGACATAGTTTAGATGAAGAAGAAATGATAGAGACAGACTGTTAGAGAGAATCTGGAATATAGGCTGAGACACAGAAATAAGACGTAACCCACTTTGTTGTAGTCACAAACTGACGTCCGGTGAAAAATAGGCTAGCTTGAATCAGGTGAAACAAACAAGGGGATGCAGCGATGAGATTGAACACTCTATCATCCTTTTCATGTCTGACTTCCATTCTTACTTGCCATCTCATCAGTTCCCAGTGTGTCTCTCTTGGCCTGTCTTTATTCTCCTTCCATCTTATTCCTGCCTGCTGTTTTTCATTCATTAGTTTATTAATCCACTACTTATTACTTAGTTTTTCTACAACTATCTACTATTTACATTTATTAAGCACCCTCGTTTGATGGATGCCCAGCAGGGCTAAGTTCTCTGATCCTATTTCATAAATGTATTGTTGTAGGCTAAAACAGTGATTGTTAGTCAAATATGTGAAATAAAATCTATGTAATAAGCCCTTTTTGACTAAACTTGCTGTTGTTAACATTCTGGAGAAACCTATTGACCTTGATTATATTTCCATTCTATCTTAGTATTTGCCTATGGAGCAACAGGAGCAGGAAAGACTCACACAATGCTGGGTACTGCAGCTGATCCTGGTGTTATGTATCTCACGATGGTGGAGCTTTATCGGAGAATCGAGGCAATTGAAGAGGAGAAGCAGTGTGAAGTTCTCATCTCATACCTGGAGGTACGGAATGTTTCCTGTTTTAACCCCTTAAAACCGGAGGGCATACTATTACGTACTATTACGCCCTAAGCGTCTCTAAATGCCGCAGGGCGTAATAGTACACCCTCTGTTTTTTTTGTTACTTACCTGGTCGCCGGCGATCGCGGTTGGGGAGACTCACCTGGGATCCCAGGGAGTCCCTAGTGGCGGATCCTGCCTCCTCCGGCCATGTGAGAGTGAGGTCCTTGTGAGGACCTCACAATCACATGGCCGGGTTAGGTGGCTGCTGCATTGCCAGCAGGGGGACTACCTGTAATGACAGTTATATTAATTCTACATATATATTTATGTAATATTTTTACATAATTAGGTATCTTAATTAATTACAATTAGCGGGACCTGCCTGACAACCCATGCCGAAAGTATAGGGAATTTCATTTGCTAGCACTATATTTAACCCTATAACTTTCCAAGACACCATAAAACTTGTACATGGGGGGTACTGTTCTACTCGGGAGACTTCGCTGAACACAAATATTAGTGTTTCAAAACAGTAAAATGTATTACAACGATGATATCGCCAGTAAAAGTGAAGTTTTTAGCATTTTTCACACACAAACAGCAATTACACGGACAATATTATTGCTGTGATACTTTTTACTGTTTTGAAGCACAAATATTTGTGTTCAGCGAAGTCTCCCAAGTACAATAGTACCCCTCATGTACAGGTTTTATGATATTTTCAAAAGTTACAGCGTCAAATATAAGGCTTTTTTTTCACATTAAAATTCGCCAGGTTACGTTGCCTTTGAGACCCTATGGTAGCCCAAGAATGAAAATTACCCCTATGATGGCATACCATTTGCAATAGTAGACAACCCAAGCTATTGCAAATGGGGTATGTCCAGTTTTTTTTAGTAGCCACTTAGTCACAAACACTGGCCAAAACTGGCATTTTTGCATTTTTCACATACAAACAAATATTAACGCCAATTTTGGCCAGTGTTTCTGACCAAATGGCTATTAAAAAAGACTGGACATACCCCATTTGCAATACCTTGGGTTGTCTACTATTGCAAATGGTATGCCATTATGGGTGTAAATTTCATTCCTGGGCTACTATACAGTCTCAAAGGCAACATAACCTATCTGGCAAATTTAATTTTCAAATGTAACGTGCTATATTTGACCCTGTAACTTCCCAAAACGCCATAAAACCTGTACATAGGGGGTACTGTCTTACACGTGAGACTTTGCTGAATACAAATATGTGTATTTTATTGCAGTAAAAGCAAACAGTATTATGACATTGACAGTTAAAATGTCATGTAGAACTAAAAAAAATCAAAAAATCTTATTTTCTCCCATTTTTTTTCATATTAAATTATGTTTCATAGCTAAATATTTGATATTAAATGAAAGCCCTGTTTCCCCTGAATAAAATTTATATATAATAAGGGTGGGTGCATTTACTATGAAAGAGGTGAATTACGGTTGGACAGACATGTAGCGCAAATGCCAGGTTTTGTTTACATTTTGTTTTGTTCACAACGTGTACATTTGGCTCCGTCCTTAAGGGGTCTGCTAACTACTAACTTAATAATATAAGGTAGCAAGATATAAAGCAAGTCATGAGTGGGCGGAGCCTGACCGGGGATCTGACCAGACGCACAATCTGTGAGCTCCCGAGCCCGGTCCTGTTTTAACACGAAAAATGTGGGAAAAATACCTGACCCTGAACCTCAACTCACTTCACCCGGCGATACCAAAGCTGGGGAGCAGAATGATACCCCACACGCTCGGAAGGACCACTGGATCATCGGATCAGAGGCTTGGGGCCTTCCCGATGCAGAGGAGAGACGGACACTCTCCCAGCTCCTCAAAGCATGCGGCACCTGAAGTATCGGGCTTCCCCTCCCCCCTCAGGACCGGCGGGGGCTAACCCGGTCCAAACACTCGCAACCTGTGAGCCCACACAGATAACAATCGACAGCCTAAACTACGCACCAAGCAAGCAGGCCGCTAGCTATCTTAAAATGGCGGACACGCAGCCCAACAAGGGCCATGTGACATCTGAGCCACAAAGCAACCCTTATGATCCTCTAGACCAGGGGTAGGCAAACTTTTAGCAGCACTGTGCCGATATAGGATTGTGATGTTCCGTAGCGTGCCGGTCCTATTTTTTGAAATTGAGGTGTGTATGCTGCCGTATTCTGCTTGTGTTATTTATACTGTAATTGCTTTGTATCTTTGTATTTGTGCGTATATGAGCTATTATATTGTATATGTTCATTAGTAGTTTATGGTATCGTGTATGATACATATAAATGTGGGCTGTGTATGGGGGCTGCTCGTGGAATTGTGCGTGGATGGATATGTCACATTGTATGTTTAGTAGTGTGTGTATGTGTCGTGACTGTTTGGGGTATTGCATGTGAGAGGCTGCATGTTGTGTGCGCGTATGTGGATTGTTAGCGGGTTACGTTTGTGCGGATTGTGTGTGTGTTTGTTTATGGGCTGTTCGTATTATTTATATGAGGGGAGAGTTATTCTGCAGCTCTGTGTATATCTAGCAGTGTGGATGGCTTCCCCGGGGTCCAGTCAAGGACAGGAGCTGCGACAGCAGCTGCAGGCTGCTCTACTCCAATGTGGATTTCATTTACAAGTGCTGGAATGAAGTGATCTGAGATTACTTCCTCTACGTGCTGCAATGCTTAAATTGAGGATTGTCCTTCACCACCTCTTCGTATTAGCAGATATCTGAAGTTTCACTAGGACTCCTGATAGGCCAGAGACTGTTCGGCTCTAGCAGCCTTGAGTGCCGTGCATGGCACTAGTGCCGTAGGTTGCCTACCCCTGCTCTAGACACTCGCCTGAACATGCTGCTGGCAAACTTCTGGGCAAAGGTGGAAGCTAGACACGCAGCTAAACAGCAGCAGCCACGGGTGAGCGGGAACACACCGAGGACCCAGGTGAGCAACAGCCGGAGTGGAGCCAGGAAGCCCTCAGGCATAAACCCAACGACACAACCCATCACATGAGCCCATCCAGGGTGAGGGCCCCAAGGGGCAAAACCCCGACGCATCGCCCACCTAGGTAGAGGTGGGGGCCTGCGCATTGCAGGTGGCGAAACACCACCACAGCTTTTAGACCTACCCCAACAGGGAAGGACCCGGTCTCTTCAAGCCCCTGAGTCCGTGGTGAAACGATGCTGGCCCTACAACAAGCCCGGAGCGAGAGGGCGACACCACCCCTGGCCAAAAGCTGACACCAAGAACTAACCGACGCCATCAGTGCAAGTTCCACCTAGAGGAATCGGCTGATCCCTTAGCAGACGGGCAGCATGCCCTTCCCTGCAACCACAAAGGACGCTGTGCAGTTATGCAGGGACACTGGTCAGGAACTCACATCACTGAGACTTTGGCACCATTCCTCTCTACCATGCACATGCATGTACCTACCCCGAAGCCTGATATGCTAATAGAGCTAAACTTCATAGTCTTACCTGCAAGCTATTCTAATGCCATTGTATTACTTTGACATTCAATACTGCAGCTTTCATGCCTTAGCACAGTAACTCGTAACCAATTGTTTATTCAGTTATGAAATGTTTCGCTTGTGCGATCAACATAGCGACCTGAACAGCTTAACGCTAAAGCGATAGATAACATATTTCAAAATGTGTGAGTTCTATGCATGCCATATTTATGTTATAACCATTGACTAAGGAGCTTATGAAAGCTAATGTGGCTATGCAAGCACTGCTGTAATCTAATCTTATGCACGACAAAAAAATAAATTCAAGACGTCCTGGTGATTTAGTGAGACCTTCCAGCTGCTACCGCCTTTCATGGGGTCAAAGTGTTTGCTGCCTACTCTTAGCCGATGACTGACATTCTATGCAATGCGAGTTGCACATAATTGACATTAGCCAGCCCATTAACTATATAATCATCCCAGGGTTTAAGCTTATGCATATGTTAATGATAAATGAACAAAAATAAATAGTGTACGTTTCTTTTATGCCTGATGTTTACCTATTTGTAACACTTTTCCAAATCTCCTAGGTATATAATGAACAGATCCAGGATCTTCTGGCTCCAAAAGGAACGTTGGCCATCAGAGAGGATCCCCAGAAGGGAGTTGTGATTCAGGGTCTCTCTTTCCATCAAGTAAGGTTATTAGGTTCTGGCTTTTCTAAGTATTCTAGATATGATATTCTACGTTCAGTATTCGTGGACAATGAAGCAAGGCACGATTCAAGAATAAACACCTAAAATGTTATGCATTTAGACAGTTGTGTCATTCTATGCATTGATATCAAACATTGACTTTAAAGGACCATTATAGGCACCCAGACCACTTCAGCTTAATTAAGTGGTCTGGGTGCCTTAATGAAGTGGTCAGATCCCCGGCCAGCTAGGTTTAACCCTTTTTTCTATAAACATAGCAGTTTCAGAGAAACTGCTATGTTTATATTAGGGTTAATCCAGCCTCTAGTGGCTGTCACGTTGACAGCCGCTAGAGTCGCTTCCGCGCTTCTCACTGTGAAAATCACAGTGAGAAGATGCCAGCGTCCATAGGAAAGCATTGTGAATGCTTTCCTATGAGACTGGCTGAATGCGCGCGTGGCTCTTGCCGCGCATGCACATTCAGCCGAGGAGGAGAAGGAGAGTCCCCCGCCCGGCGCTGGAGAATGAGGTAAGTTTAACCCCTTCCATCCCCTAGAGACTGGCGGGAGGGGGACCCTGAGGGTGGGGGCACCCTCAGGGCACTATATTGCCAGGAAAACAAGTATATTTTCCTGGCACTATAGTGGTCCTTTAAACCTTTGAAAATTTGCTGTAAGCAGTTGTTCAAATCAAATCATGTTTCCTTCTTAAATACTCTGTTTTGCACTCCCTACCTCCTGAAAGCTTCATTGGACTCAGCAGATGGTGAGGCAAGAAAAGCAGTTTTACACTGCTACTACTTGGAGACTCTTGTTTTTGTATGAAATTCAAACAAGGGAGTGGGGATGTTAATTTTGTTCCCCTCTAGTTACAGCCTGTCAGTTACAGGGGCATCCCCCATGGTTGAAAGGGACACACATGGCACCATAACCACCTCATTTCATTAAAGTGGTTATTTGAGTCACAATGCTCAAATAATGCTAAATTATAACTCTGGTGTGCACATGGCCAGCTGTGAATGCATATCTTGCCAAAATATAAAGCGACTGGACAACAGAAGCAAAGACCATGCCATTTTTCACTCCTGTCCGATAATAGGAAGATCGTGGGGATGTGATAACAAAACCTGAATTATTAATAAGACACGCAAAGCACCATTACAGTCTTTCATGAATGAGTGGCTTAGAACTGCAGTTATTTTATTTTTTAAATGCTGCAGCTCTATGTACACCCCTCAGGTCTGTGAGTCAGGAAGCCAAAATTCCATGGAATGGATCCTAACCTTTTATTGAACCGTTTTACTTACCCTGTATGAACTGAAAGGTTTTGAAAGAATGCAGTTTCTGCCAGGAGCAAAAGAGGTAGAACTTAGTATATTTCTGTTTTCCCTTTTTATTCCCATGTGTCATCATGTAAGTGGACATGTGTGTACAAAACATTGAGGTTCCACAACCTGCCATATAATAATAAAAATAATTCATGAAATTGCATTGACCACAATATGATCCTAATGTGCCCAGATCTCTAGTCTACAGTCAGGCCCATGAAAATGGGAAGCATGCCCCCTTTAATAGGAAAGTGTGCTTGGAATACTGTACACCATAGAGAAATGACAAAGTGGACGTTCAGTGACTCTGGATTTGTGTAGATGCTAGGATTTAAGCTGCAAAGCGACAAAGGTTTAAAAATAATATCAGGAAGTATTACTTTACTGAGAGGGTAGTGGATGCATGGAATAGCCTTCCAGCTCAAGTGGTAGAGGTTAACACAGTAAAGGAGTTTAAGCATGCGTGGGATAGGCATAAGGCTATCCTAACTATAAGATAAGGCTAGGGACTAATGAAAGTATTTAGAAAATTGGGCAGACTAGATGGGCCGAATGGTTCTTATCTGCCGTCACATTCTATGTTTCTAACATTGCTGATTTTATCAATAATAACAATGCACAGTTCAGGGCTTTGGTGAATAGATTAAATATGGAAACGACAGCCTTAAATTAGGTCTTTTGGTACAAGCTTCCCTGGACAGATTATTAATGTGTTTACCTTGGTGTCAAGCGTTACCTGAAGCAATGGATTGTAGCAAAGTTTTGTTTTCATGCTATTGTGGTAAATGAATGAAGCATGGAATGGAGTATATTTGTAGATTTTATATGCTTGAAGTTAAACCATTTCATGTGGTTTGTTTACAATGCTGGATCATGTTATCTCGCTGCTGGGATTGGTTTTAGGGGCGTACAGCAAAGTTATTCACATTATATGCTTTAAACCCATGGCAAACAAACAATTCACAGACAGGGCTATTTACCAATGTTTTCATCATTGAGAACTCCAAGGGAACATCACATTTCAGCCCAAAAGAGCCAAAAAAGTAAACGTAATGTTATAGGAAATGACAGTTCTGTATTTAATCTGTTCCTTGATACTGATGGAAATGAGTTTTTAGCTGCATATAATGGTATCTTCTCAGCTCTTCTCATATAAAACTCCTCAATATTTTGGTTAATATCTCTAAAATAAATTCCGATAACTAGAGGGCAAAAAAAGGAAATACGGTTTTAGATTTACTTTCCGTGGGTTTGAAAACAAATGAAAATCTGATGTGTTACAGACCACAACATATACCGTAATATCTGCTTTGAAGTTACTTTAATGTTCATTCTTTTGTGTTAAGGCTTGAAGTTTACTTTGATTAAGTGGTCGCATGATTGTACAAATAAAATGCAGAAAAACATATATAAAATTCATCTTTTATTTATTTCTTTTTCTAGCCCAAATCTGCTGATCAGTTGCTACAGATGTTGGCGAGTGGTAACCTTAATCGAACCCAACATCCAACTGATGCCAATGCTTCTTCCTCTAGATCGCATGCTGTTTTTCAGGTAATACAGGGATACATGTTAAACATGACTAATATGGGACTGTTATCCTCTTTTGTATTTCTCTGCTGAAAAAGCAAATGATTAATAAAATGTCAGTGTGACGGACCGCCTGGCACCCCGACTGGGTACCTCCGTCAATCGCTGCTTCCTAGTACTTGCGAGCACCATAAGCACCGCACAGGAACACCATAACCACCGTAAACCCCACAAATCGCTATCCTCCACCCACCCTGGGCCCAAGACCAGGATCCAGCTTCCAGTGGGTAGACCTCTCCTAGTCCAGAGAGTGAAGCAGGTTGCTCTTAAAAGAGCAAGTGTTGTTATCCATGGGAGCGTAGTGATGATAGCAATACCCAGAGTGAATATAGCTCTCCAATCCCCTAAACATGAGCCTAGACTTCATGAAGAGTAAAACGAATTTCTTTAATGGCAGCCACAACTGGCCTTTTATGCAGGTCCCCACGCAAGGGGCACCCCCCCGGACCTGGGAGTAGACTACAGTAAAATCATATACACAATTACATTGGCTCTCAGGTCCAGGACACTCCCATACACAAAAGGTCAATCCCTCCCCTGTGCCTGGGAGATAATTGAGTCAAGCACTGTATTAAATAAAATTATTTCCAGGCACAGAAAACATAAATTTTTACAAAACCCCCAAAATACCTCCAAAACAATTAAAAACCCCACAAAAGTTACATCCCCTGATAGCTGTGGTGGCCATTCACATGGACCAAAACCGCAAATAGACTTCAGGGGGACTTAGCCGCGAATGCCTTGGAACAATTTTCGGCATGAAGACTTTGTGGTTCCTAGTCTGTCCCCAGCGGCACTTATCCACGATTCTATGGAACTATTTTCGGCATGGGACCATGCGGCGTTCGGTCAAATTATGACTTCCAGGAAATTCCTGAACCGATCTGGGTGATTTTTTGCATATGTTGGTCACCCAGATCAGTTCAGGAATTTCCTGGAAGTCATAATTTGACCGCACGCATGGTACCATGCCGAAAATAGTCCAATAGAATCGCGTCTAAGTGCTGCTGGAGACCGACCGGGAACCGCAAAGTCTTCATGCAGAAAAAAGTTCCATGGCATTCGCGGCTAAGTCCCCTTGAAGTCTATTCAAGGTTTTGGTCCATGCGAACGGCTGCCAGGGAGCTAGCGTTCGGTTCTATACGCATGGATGGAAAGTGCCGAACCAGTAGGAATAAAATATGGGTCTTTACAGTCACTGACCTGGCCCATAGTCGGTGGGCAGGAAGCCAGCTTCTACACTCCTCCAGGAGTCCCTGGAAAGCGGCATTTGTCACAGTCAGCAGGTCTTTTTCATGGTCTTATCATTGCATGACTTCGTTATGAATCTTTAAAGGACGCTCCAGGCTGGTATTGCATGTGTGGCCCTCATGGGGACGTGTATAGTTTGTACATGCATCCCATAACTAAGATAGGCAGAGGGTTCCGCGTGTGATATCTGCAAGGGATGAGGTGGGATATACTCAACATTGTGCAAAGAGACAGGGAGAGGAGACTTAATTTGTTATTAACGCATGAAAATGTGCAAACAAACAGTCCGGTTGACCGTGCAAGCTCTGTCATGATCAGCCTAACCACATACTATGCAGAAGTTTGGTCCACCTTCTACGTGATTCTGAGCTGCTTAGGTGGCAAATGTCTTAAGTCCTCCACACACAAGCTCACACAGGGTTTTGCAAAGACAAAATTATACAGTTTATTGTGTCCCTGCTTTTATGTGAGCTATTCGCTAGAATTACCAACTATAAACATTGTATCTTGATTAAATGTTGTTCACCTTCCCTGCCATGCAATACAAACATAGGTTTAGATTGCAGTTAAACACACATTGGCTAATCTAACCTGTCTGAAAGCACAGACTATCTTCACAAAGTTCCTATATATGCTTCTAGAATTTTTAAAACTATATTTGTATTTCTCACTACCATTTAAATTTAACCTATCATGCCAGGTTCTGTTTCACCTTTAAACACACCTAAAGCAGTCAATACATAATTTATCATAAAGACAGATTATATGTTTATTTGCATTAGGAGCAGTTGTGTAATTTATCTCCTGCCTCTCACTTCAGTGCATCCAGTGTTTGAGATCCATGGGCATTACACTAATGTGACACAAACCCACTGATTCCTCCTGTCGTTCCATCCCTCCCCTCGCAAGACACAATTGACCCTGCTTAGGAACTCTTCCCCACACAGGCCAGACCTTTCCTAGACACCAACATGCACTTTAACAATATTACGTTTGTAAAGATTAGGTTAAAGCGAGTGACTTAACACTAAAAAGACAGCCTAGAAGAGCTATTTCCAAAGGTAGTGTTGCATTCAGGAAACCCAATAGAGTCTGCTACCACACCTGGAGCACTATGGAAGGGATCCACAGTCCTTTAGAAGTATTCAAAATCAAATTCCAAAGTCTTCGCATAGGACAAATAGCAAGGAGTTTTATTCAGGATCAGGAGAACAAATCTATATACTGTACAAAGTTTCGGTGTCAAGTTACATGATTAAGGCTTGACACTGAAACATATATTATTTTGATTTGATTTTGATCCCAGAAGAGCTGTTGATCAAAAATAAATTGGAGTGAATTCTGTTTCCAAGACACTGTCCACACGTGTGGTTGTCAGTTCTGCCACTTGCTACACAGTCCTGTTCATTGTTTAGCTTTGAATTGGGCTATGTGTAACTCATAGCATGTGCTGTGTGGTATTCAGTAAGCAGCTCAACTAACCAAGTGTGTATACTACCTGTCCCGCAAACCTCTCTACCGCTATATTGGCTTAAAATTTTAAATAACCCGGAGAGAGACTCAAAGGGCTGTCCAAACCTGGCCCTCAATCTACCTGTGCAGTTTAATTCACATTAGTAATCTGGCAGAGAATTAAGAGAAATGTTATCCGGTAATAAAAATGTGCATTAGTCTTTGATCTACAAATAATCGCTCACTTTTTATTAAAAATGCAACTTGGATCTATCTGAAATCTGTTAGCACACAGTATTCCCCAATTAATTATCACAATGCTATTACCTTGCCCTGGGCTCTTTTGGTTTTCTTTCCCCTTTTAAAGAAGAGCCAAGAACATCTTTGTAGTCCTATTTACTTGTAAACACCATGTAAGTGTTGAAATTAAATTCTCTGCTTCATTTGTGCATTAGCATTGTTGGATTAATGTTTAGAATAGTTTTGTTTGCAATAGTTTTTTGTTTAATATTTTTTTAAATGTTATTCATTTGTATTCCCCTTTTGGTTACTGTTGCTTTACATATACACCTTGACACACAGTGTGTGTGTGTATGTATGTGACATACAGATACACACACACTGGCACATAATGGCACACAGGTACACAGTGTTGTGTGTGTGTGTGTGTGTGTATCTGTGTGTCAAAGTGTGTGTATCTGTATTTGTATGTGCGTTTATGTGTCTACACACAGATAAACACACACACACACACACACACACTGGCACATAGTGGCACACAGATACACATACTGACAGATACACACACCTTGATACACATACACATACACATACTGGCACATACACATACTGACAGATACATTGACATATATATATATATATATATATATATATATATATATATATATATTTTATTTGGTCTCGTTATTTGACCCTGAGGAAAGTCCCGAACGGGGACTGAAACGTTGGTCGTTCTTTTAAACTTGATTCAATAATTTTTTTTATTTTTAAAGACCGGAGAGCAGCCATTGCTAATTTGGAGTTATATTTATTTATTTATTTATATATATATATATATATATATATATATAACAGATTCACACACATTGGGAGATACACACACTGACACAGGTACAGACACATACACACACACGCATGTTTAAATTTGCCGTTCACTTACCTTTATTCTGCAGGAGGATGTTCAGTGCTGCTGGCTGAGGTTGGTGTTCTGCTCATTCCACGCTGCTCCCTCTCCCCCTCCAGGCGGCGCGCTCTGTCTGGGAGGAAGTGCTGTCACTTCCTCCCAGCATCCAATACTACAGGGGTCCAGTCTCGGTTTTAGATGATCGCAGCACCTGACCAGACCCCTGTTTAGCGATACCCATCGCGTGACCCTAAATGCTTGGACCACCTGATGCGCAAATCGCTGCAGAACCCCAATTTTGTTCTCATGAAACCCTGCTGCCCTACAGCATTAAATCATTATTTGCTTTCTCCATTTATTAAAGGGATACTGTAGGCACTTTAACAACTTCATCTTTTGTAGGACATTATAGAGCCCGGGGTCCCCTGGCACTGTCCTTCCATTCAACGTTAACATTTTTTAATCGTTTACTTCTAAACGAGTGTCCCCAGCACTTCAACCTCTATGTGCTGCTCAGGCTAATGAGCATTAGCATGAGCAACAATGGATGAGAGTACCAGCTAATCACTTTGTCTATCACCGCGACTATGAATTGCTATAGCTAGAATGAAGTGTGTAATTTCTGCCTTAGCCATACATCCAGTAGGGGCCGGGTTCTGGGTTGCCATTGACCTTCAATAAGTGTTAAACTGCTTTAAAAATGGTTTAACACTGAATAGATCGACAGCGACAAGGTGCTCCAGCACTAGAACCAATTCAATGAGATGAAATGGGTATAATGTCCAAGGTGTCCCTTTATGGAATGAGCTTTACAGCCAATCTGGCCAGTGATAAACGCACACAAGGACATAATAATGTTTATTCCCTAAATGCCGAATTCTAGTAATTGAAAAGCTGTTGCAGAATTTAGGCAAAAAAATGTTGATTTGTAAAGTTTCTCAAACTCTGCTACAATTTGGTTGTTTCCAACTCGCTACAATTCAGCATTAGTAAATGAACGGCTAGCTATCCATATGCTTTTGTAGCCCACTCTGGCTCAAGCCTTCCTTGATTAGTTGACTAAACACTTAAATTGTAAAGCTGCTGGTCTGCTGTGTAGCATAGTATCTGCAGTTTGCCAAATAATAAACTAGAATGGAAGATAATTACCAGCGGCTCACACTTTCGAATCCTCCCAAATACACAGGCTGAACAGTAATCTTCTAGCTCTGATAAACTCAACACTTGCTACCTCTTAGGAAGTAAGCAAATAAATTGTTTCCTGGTAGCCACGGTTGATCTATTCTGTAGCTCAGGGATTGCTATTCTTGGCACGTGTTTGAACTTTTTTTCTTTTCTTTTTTTTAATGATTCACTAATTGCAAAGTTATTAAAGGAACACTTCCACCCCTAGGTAGCTTTCCAGGGTAGTCCATGGGCTTAAAAGGTTTATCCAAGGGTCATAACCACTGCAACTCACTGTAGTGGTGATGATGCCACAATTTTCCTGGCAATGGAGCAAACCATTTTAAAATGTTTTTGCCCTCATACCTGGATCCCTGCTGGGTTCAGAGGCTCCCAGATGGTTTAGTGATGTACATGCAGCTTCTTCTGGACATCACTCTCAGCCAGCGAATGAAATTCTGTGCATAGAAATGACTCTCCAATGATGCTGACAGAGGAAGAGTTCAATCTCCAGCAACAAAGATTACACTCAGTTTGTGCAGTGTTTCAAAAGCCAAAGAGATAGTATATAGAATAAATCTATAAACAGATCAGGGCTCAATAGTCGCCGAGATCATCACCAAGATTACTGCTTTAGACGAGGATTTCTCCTATGAAAGCGAAAAATGGAGAACAAATCGTAGTGCCCTGCTCTGTTTATAGATTTATTCTATATGCTATCACTTTGGTTTTTGGTGTAGTTGGATTGGGGATTGATCCAGTGGTCAGCAGCCAGCCTGCACTTTGTTTGCACATTTTCCCACCCACTTATAGTTTTTGTGTGCAGTGTTTCATATTGAAACGCTGCACATACAGACTCCAGGCACCATGTTTACTTCAAATCACTAAAGGGGTCATGGTAGATGGAGTAACCCTTTTAAAGCCTGTGTCTATAGTATTTTAGTGGCACTGACAATTGGCAACCTCTTGGATTCTAGGAAAACAATGTCCATAGACCTTCTTATAATATACTCCGAGAAGTGAGCATCTACCACCTAGCATCGATATGTTTAGGAACCCTGACTTCTAGGGTTTGTGCAGCTGTGGGCTAGCCTTTATCTATGTATAAGCACATGGTTCAGTTGTGCTTGCCATTTTGTATAGAATCTGTGACATAACTTCACTCATCTGATTTTGGGCCATGTATTAGAAGCAGCAAAGTCAAACAATATTAAATTATGTTTGCAATTATATTATAAAGGACTCAAGTGGAACCTTTTGAATGACCTATGTTGGCACTAGACGAGATAAGCTCTCTGTTTAATGGATTATCTCATATGCACATAGGTGACTCGTTCATTGCCTCAAGTAGACCTTTTACAATGATAGACATTGAGCGTCCTATTATCCTGTCAGGAAATCATGAACATCTGCACAGTTGTGGGGGGTAGAGAGAGCCTCAAGGACCAACACAGAGAACATATGTTTTTTTAACAATGGACACTTGTCACGGTCTTTCAGATCTATGTCAAACAGCAAGACCGTACAGCCAGTATTAACCAAGATGTCCGGGTTGCAAAGATGAGCCTCATTGACCTGGCTGGCTCAGAACGTGCTTCCACCACTAATGCAAAGGGCGAGCGTCTACGGGAGGGAGCCAACATTAACCGTTCTCTTCTGGCTCTCATCAATGTCATCAATGCACTTGCCGACGCCAAGGTACGCCTTGTCCCTCTGGGTCTTCCGTTCTGTTTCTGCAAAAGCTGATATTTTTCATGTGAGTCGAATGTTTGATTAGTATCTCCTTGTCTACCAACTGGATGAAAGGTCTTCCATGTCTGCATGCCTGTTGTGTGTTAGCTTAATTTGTACTTTTTGATCGCATGCAAGTAATGTGTAATGTTTTCCTTGCTAGAGACTAGCTTTGCATTTGGCATGGACTAATTGTGTTTACATTTCTTAAGACGGAAAAACAAAATGACAAATCCAGGATGTTCCACAATAGCATATCCAACAAAACCCTTTCTGTGACATGTGTTTCTTATTTCGTAAAGTTAAGATTTGGGGGTTTTTTTGTTTTGTTTTTTGTGCAGGTTAGATGTTTTTTATTGGGCTTTTCATGAGTGCAGCAAATGTTGGAAAATACTTTATTGCTTTGAAATCATACAAACCGCAACAGTTATGAAATGTTTCTTTTTTTCTATGTAGTTGAGAAGAACTTTGCATTTAATGGTTTCCTCGTTCAGGAATTTGTTAGTTTTTAGTGATCTGGCACAAATAACGCTTCTCAATTTTTATGACCAACTTTATTAAATAAATACACAGACTTATAAAAAGATTGATCTACAGTGCATGTGTTGTGAGATCACAAATACAAGAGTAGTAGCATGTGTTGGTGATAATTTGTGTACCTAATTTGTGATTGTTGTCTCTGTGGTTAATAGAGCAGGAAGGCTCATATCCCATATCGAGACAGTAAACTGACCCGGCTTCTGAAGGACTCAATTGGTGGCAACTGCCGAACAGTCATGATTGCTGCCGTAAGCCCATCTTCTCTCAGTTATGATGATACCTACAACACACTCAAGTATGCAAATCGTGCCAAGGAGATCAAACTGTCGGTGAGTCCTTACAGATACATTTTGCCTCTTCCCAGAGTTGTGAATTGAATACCATTGACTCTAGGTGATTTCTAGAGGCGAGTTGGATAAAGACAGAAGAGTCTAAAAGTCAGGGAAGGGCTTTTCAAAGTAGTAAAGTGGAAAGAAGGTTAAGGATGATAACAGAACAGAATTTTGTATAGGCTGGAGCTGAATGTGAAGGAAACTCATACTAAATTGCAGTGAGCAATGCAGGACATGCAGTGCAAGAATCAAAGTACATTGAATGAGAAACGGGCTAGTATCGTATTCTCAAGGTTGCGGAGACTAGATCAATAAGGGGATTAAAGCAGATCTATCACCGAGGGGGGAGGGAGTGGGGCTTCACATATTTGTCAAAGACCCTCAATGGTGATATCCCACTTGATGTGCAGCTGAAGATAGACATACTTACTCTGAAGCTGACCATAGGGGGACTTCCATCTTTTTTTTCTTCAGCTTTTGTCACTTCACCATTTTTTATTGGATAGTTGTGTTGTAGACAAGGTAAGAACGTGGACACAATTTGCAGTGGAATAAAATATGTTGAGAAACAAGTGATCCAGTGATACATATACATACTTGGGCATTCCTCCCAGGTTCATAGATTATTTCATTTCCGAAGCAGTGGATGGTATACTTCCTTTATGATACAGTAACTAATGTGGTTCATACAACAAGCAGGACTGGTGTTTTGATTACTCATTCAGTGCACAGAATTAGATCTATATCTTTGTGATACTGATTTTTTTTCTTTTTTTTTTTTTTTCTTCACATAGTTGAAGAGTAATGTAATCAGCCTGGATTGCCATATCAGCAAATATGCCATAGTATGTGAAGAGCTTAAAGCCGAGGTGAGGTCAACAGTCTACATCTCTAATATGATAAAATCGCTCAATATTAAGCTGGGAGGTTTTGACTGATCTCTTACCGTTTATGTATTAGGTTGCAGAGCTAAAGGAGAAGCTTCGGTTATACGAAATGAAGGAAGTCTGTCCTGGACAGCCTGATGATCTCTCTGAAGATAAGAGTCCAGAACACAAAAGGTCCTTCAGGTATGTTCTTATTGTAGTTGGTCTTTAGAAGGCAGCAGGTTTATTATGGATGTTTGGCACGTGATAAATAAAAATGAAATGTGCATCTGAATCCAGTCACGAATTTCTAAGATATTTAAGTATTTGTAGAGAAAGGACATTGGGAATAGTGCCAAATTGAATGTTATCATTTATTTTTTTCTACCCTTTTACATTATTTTAAAACAATTGCCAGCAAGATGGATACTCTTAAATTTGGTTCTGAATTTACAAATACAACATGACTTTTCCAAAGCACGAAATGCACGTGTATGGTTAGCTCCAAGACTATAACAGATTATAGGTCACAGTTAATGTCACCTTTTTTTCACATGGTTACTTATGACTGTAATGAAATACAAAATCCCTCTCCCCTGGCATCAGAGGAGGAAGTTTAAAGGCTTTGCTGAAGTGTTTTGCAGTCAACAGAATGTCCCTTTGTCTTATTTTATAAAAGTGCAGATTTCAAGCGTCATAAGTTGCACCTTCGCAGCGATCAGATTGGCAGCTGGAGGGCGCGCTTACTTGCTGTTGCTCAAAGCACAAGGCATTGTTTAGAGAAGCATTGAATTTAATGCTTCTCTATGAGAAGTGTTCTGTTGGCATAGCAATGCTTCCATTCATTCTCTTGACACAGGGAATCCTCACTAGTGAGATTGTCCTGTTGGCAGAGTGGAGCTGTGTCAAGGAGACACTCTCACCTCTGGATTAAAGATAAGCAACTGCTTTAGTTAGAGGGTGGCACTAAGCACCAACACCACTTCAGTGTAATAAGGGGATTTTGGTGTATAGGTAAAGTCCATGCAGTCTTAATGCTCTGTTTATGTAGACCTAGCCACACTGTACTAGAATACACTATTGCAAATTACTATTTTCAGTCTACCTAGAAAGACCAAAACTATTCTCTTTTATTGTGGGACAATACTCCTGGGACACGAGCTAGCTGGTGTCCAACAGAAGGTTCGGTTGTATGCTGGAGGGTGTGCACCATTTAGCACACTTGCTACGTTATTGGCAGTGTTTTCTCCTCCACGGATTTGTGTTAACTCTGGATACTTATCCCTCTTATTGGGACTGTGGACCTACCAAGCTATTGATGTTAAGCTTATGTGTGTTCCTTTTTGGACACTGGGTGCATTGCATAATTGGTAATACCATTTGAGCTTTCTAGTAATGGATTATATTTGGACATTTGGCTTACATTTTTTTTTTTATAAGAGCTGCATTTTTATATATTCAGTTTTATGCATGGTAATTGGAGAGTATTTAGCACCACAGTGAAATAGAATTAATGTACATGTATGTTTGGCCATGCAGAAGAATATAGCTTCCTCCTGATATTACGAGCTGAATATGCAGACTTATTTTTTGGGGCGTGGGAGTGGTTTTTGTTTGGTTTGTTTATTTTTAGTAGGTATATTTTTTTCGCATGTTACTGCAGTTATAAGTAACCACGTGCAAGAAGACTGAGACAAGTGACCTTCTTGCACCATAACATGTGCAGCATGAAGTGTAAGTGGCTATGGTGCATTGAGGGTCCCTTTAAAAACAAACCAGTTGCTATGCTGCTGCCCTTCTACATCATTACTCAGGGGTTTATAATATTATCAAAGCATTAAACAGAAAAAAATATGTTTATCCTTTGCCTGTCTTCACGTATGTCCAGGATGTTTAGATCAGAAACTCAGACGATTTTCATCAATAAATGTCGGGCAAGTGTCTGGTTTGCTGATGACAGCAGAGAAATATTTTCATACCCTTTTATCTTGTCTGCTGCTCATATATTTGATACAATCCCAATCCATTGTTACATATGATGACAGCCCCTCCCAGGCCAGACAATCTGGAACAATTTATCAAAATATGTAACATGTGCCTTGCATGCTGCAGGGTTTAGGAAACATTTCTCATTTTAGATGGTGTTTGTTTTCATTATTTCATTTAATTTCTCACAGTGTAGATTAAATCTGGACAAAAAAAAAATGTATTTATAGGGGGTGCAACGAGGGTGCTTAATGTTTCCCTTTGTTAATTTTTTTAAAATTAATTTTATTGTCCTATTTAGAAACAATTTAGTTACAAACTGTGAAATCGGTTTGATGCAGTCATATGCCCTTGTCTGTGTTTCTTGTCAAGTGCATTATTTTGCAATTAAATATCTTCTGATACTTCTCACAATCAGATGGGAATATCATAACCCAGAGATCCTGTTGGAGCAGGTTCAATCTTTCCTTTCTTGGTGTATAGTTATACTATCCATGTCAGCCTTCAAAGGTCTCTGATATTTACTGTAAGCTTACCTTTAAAATCAACCAAGAGTTGTTCCTCTGTAACAAAGCGTAAAATGTCCTGAATTATCTGACAGACAAAATATTTTAATTGATTTTATCACAAATTTTCTTTGTCTATGATTGACTGCAGAAAGCGTGGGAGACCCAAGCTTTGTTTCATTCATACATCATTCTGTTGCTCGTTTTCCTGGCACTATGGGGTTATTCGGTCCCCCCCCTCCTACTGGGCTGAAGGGGTTAAAACACCTTCAGCCACTTACCTTTCTCCCGCGCCAGGCTCCCTCGGCGCTGGGGAACTCTCTTCCTCCTGCCGACGTCAGTGCCGAATGCGCATGTGCGGCAAGAGCCGCGCGCGCATTCAAACCGCCCATAGGAAAGCACTATTCAATGTTTTCCTATGGACATCCAGCATATTCTCACTGTGATTTTCACAGTGAGAATCGCGGAAGCGCCTCTAGCGGCTGTCAATGTGACAACCACTAGAGGCTGGATTAACCCTCAGTAAAACATAGCAGTTTCTCTGAAATTGCTATGTTTACAGCAGGCAGGGTTAATCCTAGATGGACCTGGCACCCAGACCACTTCATTGAGCTGAAGTGGTCTGGGTGCCTATAGTGGTCCTTTAATTTTTTTTAATGTTTTTTGCATTCTCTTAGTTTTCATTATGTGCACAAACAGAAATCATTTGGATAATACACCCTGTAAATTCATGTCTAGAAGGGGTGAGGCATTTGTCTTCCTTCCTTCCTACATTTTCTTGTGTATTCATATCAAGAAGACTGTGGTTTTTTTTTTTTGTTTTTTTTTTAATAAATCCGTTGCATTCTCCCATTTAAGAGCATTGTTTTGTAAAAACTCCCAGATAATGGTTTCCATTAAAAGGTCTCTCCAACCCAAAAACTGTGACTACTGTGACCAATAGATACAAATCAATTAACTACTGTGAGATGCCATACTGAGGCCAAGTTCTCCATGCAGCCTGATCCTCCGGTGTTATTGTGTTAATGATATCTGTGTTTCATGGTTTCTGTGCAGGTGAGAGACTAGAGTCCTTACAAAAACATGATGGTGGAGATTTATTAAAGAGTTCTGTTCAGAAACATGAAACAAAAATCTAAAAGGGGAGAAGTCATCAGTGGATTGTGCCTGTCTGTTCCATTGGTTTCCATAGATTTCCCCCACTGTATTCTACATCTTAATGCAATCGTATGATCAAGAGAGTTTGGAAGCAAAATCGGGGCAGGAATTTGTCCTCAGACTAATGTGGTTTGAGAAAAGGACATAGGGCGTATTTTCTCTTATGCCCTTGTTGGTTTTCTATCTTCATGTCAGATTTCTAAGTCTCTTTGATTTAACACAGGATAGAGGAGCCAACGTGTACATCCAGCCCTGAACAAGGATTCATAACTGGCACACAGGCACCAGCAGCGCGGTCTTCCCAACGGCTCAACCAAAAGCTTATCAAACTGTGGCTCAAGGACAAAGAAGACCAGGTAATGTGTAAACTCTAGGAATCAGGAATGTTGTTCAACGAATCTTCAATTCACTGGAACACTGAGAATGGGGGAAACACATTTGTTCAGGTCTCAGTAAAAGTTTTAGCTGCCTTTTGCAGTTACAGAGACACAACTTAAACCTTTTCCAAATAGGTATAATCCTGCCTTTAAAGAAATTCCTGAATGGAAATGGAAGCAGGTCCTCACCCCCTCCACCCCCCACTCCCCTGGCCTAGAAGATAGATCACTGTTCTTGACCTTCTTAGGGGTCTTGTCACTGAGGTGTAGCAGATACCCGCAGGCACTGAGCACCAGGTCCATATCTTTGTGATGTAAATATTGATATTGGTACTTTGGCGATTTTTAATTATAAAGGGATACTAACTTGTTGGTGGGAGAAATCTCATTCTGGTTAATAATGAAAACCATTAACAGATTCTAATGCCTTTTTTATTATAACTGTAGCCAGACCGTTAAAAACTTTAATTTGTTTTTATTTAGTTTTTCCTGGCACGCAATAGCGGTTTCCTCTCAAGCCCCATGATTATCGTTTTCTAATATAAACTGGTAATGAGTGTTTGGGAAAATTAAAAAATATACAAAGACTGAAACTGAAAATGTTATTAGACGCAAGCATCTCCCTGGGTCTTTCTAGAACACTAAGCATGCACACCATCATGTGTTTCCCATGTAACTCAGTGTCCACTTCTGCACTACAAGTCCTGTACATGGATCATGAATTATGTGTAGCCAGTGAACTCTGTCATTTTAATGCAAACTTAAAATTAAAAGTGGTTGTTTACCAGATAGGCTCAGAGAAACAGGTGATGCTCTCGGCCTATCATTGGCTCCCAATTCAGAAAACATAGTGAAAAGGGTACTTATCTCTTCCATTCCATTTTCTGAAAGAGGATTTCGTGATAGGCTAAACATACTTGCAGACATATTCGTGTTCTAGGTATTTTTTTTTTATTTTTTATTTTTTCATGCATTTTGTTTAATATAGATCACGTGACTTCTTAAATTTGTTGTAAGACTCTAACAATATTTTATAGTGTGGACATTTTCTGTTCTATTGTTTTTATCCCCATCTTGTACTAGGTCCAACTCTTTTACTGTCTCTGGACGATTATTCCATGTTTCCTCTGTGTTTTCCATGATGTTGTTTGTTACATTCCATTTATACTTTTAACCCATCTGTGGCGAAACCGACCTCGCCACTGGGCATTCGAGAAGACTGATTGCCAGCCTCCTGCCATGTGATTATGGCCCATGGGATATATTGCCCTTTAAAGACATTGTTTGGGCTATTGGACTCTGCTGGCCCTTTAAGAACCGTCTGGGGACATAGAGACAATGCCCCTTTAAGACTATGTCCCCAGACCTTTAAAATTCTTTGTTTGTGGCTTTTTCACACTTGGTTTAGTAAATGGGGCTTACTGAACCAAGTACCATACAGGCGGACCACCCAGAAGTGGAAGTGTGCAGGCAATTTACCTCCTAGGCTGGGAGCCTGCTGTAGGTAAATTGCTGACCGCTGGGTGGCGGCCGTTCATACAAACGAACACGTGGCGGCCATCTTTGTTCATTCGTACGCGGTCAGCGGTGTGTGCCCCTGAATCTATGGAACTGAAAACGGCTACACGTTTAGACGAACACAGCTGACCCTTACCGTCTCCCCCACTTCGACACTGGGGCTGGAGACTCGTTCGAACGCTCGTTCAAATGGGACTTAGCCATTTTTCAGTGAGAAATTGACCGACCGCACAGTCCAAATCTATGGAACTGTTTTGGGCAGGAAAATGTGCTTGCGTTTGGTCATAAAGGGACCTCCACCTAACTTTTTAACCCCTGAACGGATTTCCCTGATTTTTGAGTATGTTTATGTTTAAAGTATTCTGATTCTGAAAATGTATGTTTTATGTGAGTGGCATGTATATTCTGCCTGTGATAATTAAGTTAGTCTATTGTGTTGAGATAACTATATCACAGGCAGAGGGTAGGATTTTGTGTGTAATTGATGGGAGTGTCTGAGTGTATTGTGCGTATTGATTGGTTGTTTTGCAAAACCCTGTGGGCAGGACTGTGTGCATAAAAGCAGAGTGTTTGATTAAAAGCTTCAGTTCTACTTCACCCTCAATTTGGAGTCTCGTCTCTTATTGGGGGATCTGTTACAAGGGATTGCTATGCTCTGCATATTTCCTTGCTATAATCACTCCTAGGCTCTTTTAAGAGCTTGTTCCTGTCTTGCTCTCTGAAGGGGTCTACAGTGGGTATGGTGTCGGCTGGAGTGCTTGGAGCCCTCAGGAAGCACTAGGAGCATCCTTCAATGGAGGTACCCAGTCGGGGTGCCAGGTGATCCGTTAAACCATCCATGGCTTTTGATATAAGTGCTTTGTTGCCACGGCATTTCCATTCTTTAAAACCATCCTCTACAATGCTCAAGTTCATTTGATGTATTAGAGCGTTTTACAGCCAGGAATCATTGGAAACTTCATTGGAAATATATCAACCCTTTAATTTGTTTTCGTTTGTGTGATCTATATTTACCATACTTTGCTAGTCCTTTCTATATCTCTTTTCTGTTGATCTAACATGATCAATTTTGTTCATGATTGGAACGAGAATAGGGAAGGAATTTTCTTTTTAAGACCTATCATACTTGGAGTTTGATGTAAGCATCTGACTTGCATCTTCCCATCCAAAGGAATGTTATCGTTCTGGTCACATTTTTCCCTTCTTCTAAATCATGTCTATATTATAAGCACATGATAGGTATTCCCCGTAAAACTGTCTACAAGTGAAAGCTTTCCTGTTCTCAATAGCTTAAAAAATACTTAATCTATGTTGCTATACCACCAGGACATAAGCATGTTTTTCCCTTCTAAGACAACTGTGTGATTTATAGGATACTCTGAAATTCCTCGATACTAAGAGCTGGATATCTCCTGTCTGTAACACATTTCAAAGTACAAAATTGTACGCCATCTATGTAGGAAACGGTAAATTAAATTTTCATCAGTTAACATTAAAATAATGTCTGATAGAAGGGGAGAGGTTGTATACACTTCAGCGATCCACTCGCCAAACTTATCTCTTACATTCTTTCTATTATCAAGGGAATCCTACATTTTAGAGGGGGACAGAACCCACCCTATTGCATTGTGGGTAATATAATCCGTGCATTATTAAACTGTAATTCACAGTATGATTGTTAGTGTATCTGTCCTTAAACTAAAAAAACCATAGCTCTAACATAGACTCTCATACCTACATTTTCACATAACATAATAAGACATATAATGGTAAACCTTGCATTGTGGGAAGATGTCATTTCAGGATTCTCGATAGTTCTAAATGTTTTTTTTATGATGTATGTAGAATCCATAGATGATGTTTTCACATAATGCACTGTAGCAAATGTTTTTTTTTATTTCATTTTTCTTTACTAAATTACTGTCACAGGTGTTAAATTTGGATATGGATAAACATTTTAAATGTATTTCTCTAAAAAAAAAAAGTGTTTTGGTTTTTTGTTTCTTTTTTCCCTCGTTACTTTGGGGAAAATATTCCCCCAGGTCTTTCATCACCTGGTTAGGGTTCATTGATCACATCCTGGACACACTTTCCATGTGCATATCTTTCTGATGTCTTTAGCATCTGTAGCATTTGGCCCCATTCATGAATCACAGTCGTATTCCTGGGTTGCTTAAGGTCACAGTATGTGAAATCGCAAGGCATGTTTTAGAGCTTTCTTCCTTTTACGCATCTCGGAATCTGATGGGTTGCTTTTAGAACAATATGTTTTGGTGATAACGGGCAACGGACTTGGCGATAAATTGTGGGTCGCTCTAAATCACCTTCTAATGTTGAATTATAATCCCAGTGATTCACTTGGCAGATGTTTACAGGAATTATAAAGGACAGGGAGAAAAATGTAGGTTACTTATCCCTGCAGATCCATGGTCCTTCAACGTATGTAGGATACAGGATAGTAGTTTTTTTTTTTTTTGTGTGTGTGTGAGATTTCTGTCTGCATGGACAGTGTGTACACATTTGTTTTAATTCTGTCTGAACCATATATATATTCTTTTAGTTAAATAGCTACCACCGATGGGCTGTAGTGGTTATGGTGTTTAGATGACCACTATCCACTATAAGGATAATGCATTCATAAAAATTGCCAACTTTTTCAATAAAAAAAAATTAAATTATTATATTTATATAGCGCCAACAAATTACATAGCGCTTTACAATGGGTGAACTAACAAACATGTAGTTGTAACCAGACAGGTTGGACACACAGAAACAGAGGGGTTGAGGGCCCTGCTCAATGAGCTTACATGCTAGAGGGAGTGGGGTAAAATGACACAAAAAGGTAAGGATAGTATTAGGGAAGTAGATTGGTAGAATAGTATTCAATGAAGACTTGGTGAGGGTTTTTGTTTTTATTTTGAGCCATTAACAGTTTAATTGAGATGCTTTTGTGAAAAAGTTTTTAATGCTTTTTTTTGAAGAAGTGGAGACTGGGTGAAAGTCTAACAGAAAAGGGAAGGGAGTTCCACAGAAACAGTGCAGCTCTAGAAAAGTCTTGAATGCGAGCATCAGAGGTGGGAGTACGAACAGAGAATAGACGCAGATCTAGGGAGCATACATAGGTGGGAGTAGCGTTATGTAGAGATTGGAAAGCAAGAACCAGAATTTTATATTGAGCCCTAGATCTTACGGGAAGCCAATGCAGGGACTGGCAGAGGGGTGAGGCGTGGGAGGTGCAGGCGGACAGGAAGATGAGCCTAGAAGTTCCCTGCTGGAGCCTTTAGTAGGTTTGTTGTATCGGAGTTTTCATGTTACTGTAGGTGATCATTCTTGTAACAAGTGAACCATTGATTATTATGTTTGTACAATTAGAGGTCTCTCTTGGAGGAGTCTAATTTATTTTATATTATTCAGGAGTCAAGGAGCAGCAGCTTTGCGGGAGAGGAAGAAAAGGCATCACTATGCATGTCTTCCGAGTCGGCAACTTCTGATCACGAGAGGTGTGTCCGTGATTCAAGTAATTGGGGCTATGCTGGGATTACTGAGATATGTCTATTCTCTAATCATTATATAGTGTATGTGCTAGCCGATGTGTATTGCATGCAAATATGTTACTTGGGCAATGCTTTCTTTTTACAATTGTATTTTTATAAACATATTTTTAATACTTAAGAAGGCCATTCTTTATATAATTTGCATGTGTAATTTATTTGTACTTTTGTTGAAAAACATTTCCTTAATCTTTTTTTTCTTTTTGTAAAACTTAATAGACCTGCAATTGGTACTGGAATATTTTGGCTAATAAGACCTTTTGTTTCAGGTTGGTCAAGGCCCTATTAAGTATGGTCCGAAAGCAACATGACATCCTTAAAGGTGCTGATCTTCTCACCGCTGACTTGGACACTGAAATGCAAGAACTGGAACATCTGGTATTAGGAGGTTCGAGTGTGGATTCAATGGAATCTATAGAGAGTGAGCAGAAGACCGAAGTTTGTGAATCAGATGCCAGCAAGCACCTTGAGGAAAAGGGCTTACAGTTGCCGTCCATTGATGGTAAGTTTTATTTCTTGTAGATCCATAAAAAATCTAATAATACAACCTCTTTATTTGATTGAACCATTTGATGTTTTATGGATTTTGTCTTGGCAAATCTCCTGTTTTAATTCTGATCTCGTAGAATTTGTACAACATTAATTATGTACACCCAGCACCTGTCAGTGCACTCTTCAGTTCTGACATCCAATGTGTTCTCATATTACCTTAACTTTAACATACAATGAACACATACATACGGGTGGAGGGGATGCAAGATGGGGAGGGGGCACAGTAGACCACATCATCTACTTTATGGAAGTTTTTTTGGTTTCTTTTAATAAATATAGACATTTCTGGTTCACAGTTTTCACATATAAATACACATCAATGACTCACTAATGCACAATAGAGTCTGTATTTTACTCTGGACACGTATAAACCTGTATTTTTCCGACTTGCAAAAGATGTAAATTATTTAATGGTGTTAAATTTTATTTTGAAAACAAAAGTGGGGTGAAATGGTTAAAGGAACACTTTAAGGTCAGGAACACAAACATGCATTCCTGACCCTATAGTGTTAAAACCACCATCTAGACCCCCTGGGCCCCTCATGCCTCCATAAATATAGCAAAATCTTACTGTATTCAAGCCTGAAGCCGTGGCTCTGCATGCTGTTTGCCTCAGAAAAACAAGCTGTCTGCTGACATCATCAGAAGTGGTGGCCTGATCCAATCACAATGCTTATCTATAGGATTGGCTGAGACTAACAAGGAGGCAGATCAGAGCAGAACCAGCACAATTCAAACACAGCCCTGACCAATCAGCATCTCCTCATAGAGATGAATTGAATCAATACTGAATGTTTGGATGCATTTTAGGCAGCCATGACCCAGGAAGGATCTCTAACAGCCATCTAAGGAGTGGCCAGTGAAGTTATCACTAGGCTGTAATGTAAACACTGCATTTTCTCTGAAAAGACAGTGTTTACAGCAAAAAACCTGAAGGTAATGATTCTACTCACCAGAACAAATTCAGTAAGCTGTAGTTGGTCTAGTGACTATAGTGTCCCTTTAACCCCTTAAGGACCAAACTTCTGGAATAAAAGGGAATCATGACATGTCACACGTCATGTGTCCTTAAGAGGTTAATTTCACCATCGAGATATACTTGAGTTAAAAAAACAACCCAGATTTGCTACTCTGGTGTATGCTTTAAGAATCCTTGCCCCATGGAGCCGATGGATGAACACATCACAGTTTGTAACTTTTTACTTCTTGTAACTTTTCATTTGCGGTGATGGATTAAGCGAGTAGGTTGTACTGTATTTTCCTCTAGTTATCTGAAGCGTAAAATTGCACCCTCCTAGCAGGAGGCAGGACCCACAGTGCAGTAATGAAAACTCATTCAGACAGGGAAGAGCGAAGGGCACAGATGTGAAACAGTTAGTTTGCATGTTTCAGCCTCAGGCATATTCCATGAGTTGCTCTTGTTATAAGAGGGGACAGTGTGAGACTTGGATTAATAGAGAGTAATTGAATTCTTGCTTAAAAAGTACAAAGTTGCATTCTGGACTTCGTTATTAAAAACACGTACGCGTTGACTGCATGGCCTTGGCATTGGGACAGAATAGTTCTTTCATGCAAGGGCATTTGTGTTCCTGTAATGAAGCAAACAAATGAAAGCAATGAGGTTTTACAGAGTTAAATTGTTTTCAGTTGGTCCTGGCTGAATCCAACCCATTGTATTTAAAATGTTACTTCAAACAAAAACATTGTTTTTGGTCAGCGTAACCCTCATTATGCTGATCCCCCACTATGTGCAGTGTTTTGCAGCAAAATGGTGGACATACCAACTGCAAGCACCATGACCACTTCAAATTTTCAAAATGAAGTGGTATGTTTACTTCTCTGACAGTTTCTGACATCCCCCAACCCCCATAAAGGCTACTGACGCACTAGGATGTCAAATGTCATGTGTGCGGAGGCATCCCTTTCATAGTGTCACATGTGCCATGGAGGAAAACCAAATATATAAATATAATATAATATTTGTGTGTGTTTGCTGAGACACTCTATTAAATACCACAAAGAGGAATTACTGCACCATTTCACCCACGAGCACTACTCTTGCAGAGATCGTAAAGTCAAAATACTCAGGATGGGATTTGAGAAACATATTTGAAGCCAGAATGTTCCAGTTTTTTAACCGCAAAAAAATAGGGGAATAAGTTATTTTATCTCTTTTTTTTTCCCTACACTGATTATACCTGATCACGAATAACGTTTGAATTATATGTGTTATGTTCAAACATGATATAGTTTTGATAAAGGGAGGGTGTCTTGAAAGCTTGCAAACTGAAAATTCTTTTGCGTATTTTAGATATTCCCTCTTCTTGATCATCTGTCACTCAAACAGCTAATTGTACCTTTAGGTGAAATGATGAGATATTTTGTCACTTGTGCCTTTCACCTCTGACGTCGGCAATTAATGCTTCGGGGGTCAGACACATAATAGCTGAACTTTGATCAAGGCTGGAAACTCATCCCAACCCTAATACTACAATAAAACTTAATGCTAATTCTTTCATACCTTTTCCTTGATTGTCACTAAGCCTGTTAGTGTGTTTTGCACTGATCACATTCAAAAGTTTTAACTTTTCAACATTCTCACTGACTGCGGCTCATGAAAAGATGTAGTTCAACAGCCTGAGAACTGCTTTTTTGCTACCTGTGTCTAAATATTTCAAAAGCAAAAGAGCAACAGTCTGTTAATGACCTAAAATATCCACTCCAGTCTGTGGGTAGCTGGGATCCTGGATATTGTAGTTCATTAACAAGTGGATGAGTTAACTTTTGAAGAAAATCTGTTGCAAATGTTAATTTCACTTTTGTTCTCACCATCTTATGGTTTTCCTCCAGATGGTGAAGTCGATAAACAAGAGGTGGTTGTTGACCCAGCTCCTCCTGCTAGGAAAAGGAATCCAGTGAAACGCAACAGACGAGAGATTCTTCCAGATGCAAGTCCGTCGCTTAAAAGTCCAATGGTTCCAATAAAGAGAAGAAGGCAAGCAGAGTCATGCACCCCATCGAAAGCCAAGGGGCCCCCTGTACCTAGCACCCCAGAGGTGCGGGTGAAGAGGCCAAGAAAATCTTCAATCCCAAGTAGAAGCCGGATAACCCTTAGATCCAGTACCCAAATGTTTTCTTACAAATCTAATGAACCCTCTATTGGCCAACCCTTGAAACAGACTTCTGTTTGCACTCCAAAACACATTTTGCAAGTAAAACCAGATGTGTCCTCACGTACTGTCACTAAAGCACGTATGCCTCTGGGCACATCTGCTGCTCAGAACTGTGCCTCTGTCCCTCCTGTGGCCTTGTCTGTTAGAGACCTGAATACTACGTTTGATTTGTCAGATGAGATATGTTCAGCACCAATCCTGGACAAAACCATGTCCTTTGGAGCGTCTGAGTTTTCTGGCTGGGAGAATGTGGATTCTCGGAATATAGACAGCACGTTCGGCAAAAGGTATGATGATGTGCTCTACTTTATTCTAGTTTATTGTGGTGACATTGTCCCTGTCTTGTGAAGATGTACCTTGCATGTAGGGTACTGTTCAGTCTGAAGTTTTAGTAAAGCAAAATCATTATGTTCTTAGGCTATTCTGTGAGAAATAGAACATGATGGCCTATTCACTAAACTGTGGACTCTTTGAAAAGGGAATTACAAATTTGAAACCAGAATAGCTGAAATTTAAAACATTTTGGCATAAAACAAGTGTTATGAATTACACAAAAAAACAGTCTGCTTGCTTTCACGAGTCAAAGGGAATCCGTAGTAATCCAATGCTCCAATATATTCGGAAATACAATCATAACACTGGGAAATTGTTTAACGTATGCCCACCATAACATATCCGTGTACAAATGCTAAACCCACCAAAAACCAGGGAAACCACACTTGTTACGTCCATAGGTTTTCTTCCCTAGCATAACAAGAGTAGGTATTGATCCAAAGTCTTTAAAGGAACATTCTGGCACCATAACTTCAGATCAATATAGTGGTTATGGTAGCTGCAGCTCCCTGGAACCGCCCTTTCGTCTAGTGCTAAAGTGTTTTGGAACGGTTTAACACAGAAGCAGTCCAGAGGTGTCCATCAGATATTTTTCCTTCGGTGGGTGCCCAGCTAGTGCGGAAGCTTTAGGTCGAGCTGCAGAGGGGCAACAGCAATTGGCTGACCGCATCAGCTGACAAGATGAAAACTACTTATGTAAAATCACTTGCTCTAGTTAAGGTCTGGTTGTGGTGCTGAGTGTCCCATTAAAGTCTATGCATTTGCTAGCATTTCTTCTTACGTAATCTATAGATATGTTATGCTATATTAATGTTATGACAGGTAGGTTTTATGAACCCTTGCATTCAGGTGATCCAAGAATATGTTATCCTTTTTTATTTTTATTTTTTATTACTATAGCCAGTGAGGGGGTGTCCTGAGGCCCTATGTTCTTGTTGCTCATTTTATTTGTTTGTTCTTTCTTGTTTTAGGCTGTTTTTAAGTAACCTTTTATTTATTACTTTATTGAGGAGGTATATAGAGTGTTTCCCCCTCTGCCATGCTTTCATGGTCATTTCTCCAAATCACCAGATATTTTAGTTTACCAACAGTATGACTGATCTCAATGTATGCGTAGTAATCAGGAAACAGCTGGGGACAAAAAGGATCATTAAAACCATTTGATTTTGATAAAACATCTGATAATCAAACAAGCTGTTTGATTAGTAATAATTAGGTTTTATGCTACCTAATCTCAATAGGTAATTTTAGTTTCAGGTCAGTTGATGATATGGATGAACATAACATTTTGCATTCTTGCAATCCTTTACATTGTTTTCTGTCTTTTTAGCTCTGACGTGGCTGTGTTTACCATGAATGGTCTCTCTGTAAAGCACTCCATTTCTGCTCAACTTGCATCAGCCACAAAGTCCTACGCCCACCGGAGAAGGCGCTCAAGCAGGTGAGACAACCCTCCCCCCAAACTGTAAAAGATAATACACATTTGGGCTCTATTAGAGCTCATTAAAGGGTTACTCTGAACACCGTAACTACTTTGCATGAGTACCCTTTACCCACTCTCCGTCCTGAGAGTGGCCTATAACAGAATCATCAGAGCTGCCATCAGAGCTGTCAGTCAGGCAGCTGGGATTATCTTATGGGCTACATGTGCCAGGTTTATCCAAGATGTGTGTAGAGACATATATGGTGTGTGTGTCTGTCTGTAATATCCTTGTGATTCACAGCCGGGACAGAGTGGAGGGATAAAAAATTAACGATAAAAAATTAACGTATAGATTGTATAACTGTGCAGGTTCTTTATTCATATACTAGTTTTTTTCTACCAGCACCCTCTTCTACTCAGCTCCCGATTTATATAGAAGAGATTTGTGTTTCTTGATATATACTGCAGTGTTTGGCTGGGAGGATTTGTAAGCCATCATTCTGGAGCAACAGGAGAAAATGACTTCACTCTAAATCTCCCGTCCTCATAGTCCAGCTTTGTTCAGGCCCTGCGTTCCTTTTTCATATATGCTGTATTATCAGAGATCTTTGATTATTTGCGATCGTAGACTACTGTACACCGTGTGAAACATCACATATTCTCCATGTCTGTTTTATATCTTGCAGTTCATCCTCATTGCGTGTAGGGAGTGCAGCAGTTAGTCATGGCCGTACATCAAGATTAACACTTGGAACAGTTAAAAAGCCTCAAAGGCCACCTACCATAGCAGGTGAGTTATTTAACCAACTTGAGGGTGTACCTTAAAACTAGGAAGGTACGAAAGTGAACATGTCCCTATCTTGGTTTTCATTGTTTAGTGTACTTTATAATTGAACGCTGTTTCACCATGGCTAGGAGAGAAAATGGATCTGTTTGGCTGGTGAGACGCCATTTTCAGAAGTTAGAAGGCAGGGTTGCCTGGTACTTACAAAGTGGAGAACACGACAAAACTAATTAAAGGGAGACTGTGCAACAACACAACTTTAATGGACTTTGGCCTAATTATTATGCTGTATTTTCTGCATGCTCAAATCTTTATAGTTTTTGCACAATAAAAATAAGGTTGCTGCACTATATGCATGCCTCCTTAGCTACCCACCTCATGCCAGAAAGGCTTTCTTATCAAATTCATGCACACTGGCTATATTATTTTTCCAGGATTCCAAAATGTCAAGATTATCGCCACATCACCCTTGGAGTTCTGGCCTTTTCTCTGCATGTATTAGAAAGTTTTACACTAACCACATGTTGCTTAATCAGTCCGCACATTAGCACGACCTTTTGAAGAAGAGCAAAACAGGATGTGAACATCATATTGTGACTCCCTGCTTAAAGGGGAACAGCTTAAAGTCGCATGTTTTCAAGGTAATCTTTTGTTGCATGTTTGCTTAATTTTGTTGTTTGTTCCATAGAGAGTTGCAGCCCTCGGGGACAAAGCGGCAAGAAGACAGGAAAAGGGTCGGTTGCATTTGGTAGAACCATGTCCGCAATTCCAGGGAATCGATTCATGCAGGTTGCAGCAGTAAAGTCATAACCAAATATAAATAAAATGCGGTTTGTTGGACTTACACAGAAGACAATTCAGCTTGTTTACCGTTTGGGAAAAATCCCCGTCCTACACAACTTGATGAAATCCACTTTTGAGATTATTTATAATTCAGATTGTACACCAGGAACAAATCATCACAGCCTTCATTGGCGGGCTCTGCAGGACCCATCCAGATTTCTTATACTGACCTTCATTTTAATATTTTAATTGGCATTTTAATGCCCCTTCATGTATTATAATCCATGAAAGTATTTACTTGTACATTGTTACAATGTTGGTTCTCCCATTCTGTCGCAGATCCTTGTGTTTTAAAAACTCTTACATTTTTATTCTCTAAAATCTGTCCGACACTTGCGCTATCCCTGTAGCCAAGCAGCCCTTTGTGACCTGATTTACTTTTCTCAAGTTCAATAATTTCAAAAATATAAACCGTGTTGCATAACTAAGCAACAATAAAAAAAATGATATCCCTGGGATTAGTAAAGCCAATTGTAATTTGCTTCACTGCTCAGGAATTATGAGTCTAAGCAATAGTCCACATTTTCAGGTTTACACTGCTCGTGTTTATATGTTTGGATGTCTCTGATGCTGGGAATAAAATACATGTATGGTAGAGCTGTGTGCATGCATACAATGAACGTGCAGAATGTTAGTGTTGTGCACACAACTACCAATGCTATCAGCATGGAAGCAAATTAAAAGACAACGGTCACCTCAAAACTAGTTTTAATATAATAAACATTTCATCTAGTTTTGAAAGGAAATGGATGTTTTGTTATTTTTAAATAACGTATATGTAACAAAAAATAGAAACTCATCACTACCTTTTAGGATATGATAGGACCCGTCAGCCATATGCATACACCCTGGGTCAGACAGTGTTTGAAAACAAACCGTCTCTATGGTTTTCCCTCGTTCTTCACAGAGGGTGAAGCAGAAAAGACCATAGAGTAGGGATGCCCAAAAGGTAGATCCACAGATGTTTCAAAACGACATCTTCCATGACGCTTTGTCATTTTAAAGTCATGCAAAGCATCATGGGAGGTGTAGTTCTATATGTGGGGATCTCCCTATTGGGCACCCTTGCCATAGAAACCATTGTTTTGTTTTATTTCCCCCCCCCCCAAACTCTGTCTGCATGTGTATACCTTTTTCTTTCAAAACTTGATGAAAGTATTATTATATTAAAAAAATTAAAATTCTTAACAGACTAATTACATTTTGGAGGTCTTCTACAACTGCTTGCATCAATGATCCTCAGATAGTTTGTCTGATTCATTAATTTTCACCTCGGTGGAGGATTCTAGCGCTCGTGGTTTCTGAGCTTTTACACTGTTTAGTTCATATTTATTTTTAAATGGAGACATTCCATAAGTATGTAATAGTCCAATTTCTATAAAGTCTTTTTGTTTTTCATTGCCAATATCCCTTTAATTATTGAATGCTCTTTAGCACAAGTAAACTGTTTTTTTTTTTTTTTATTGTGATCAGATTAATTCTCCTTTATTAATTACTGAAAAAGCAACGAACACATTTTTAAAAATCTAGGTATTGCTTTATTTTATACTCTTGCTATTTGTAACAGTGAAGAGCTATGTCTTAACAGATCAACAGATCTGTCTAATGATACTTTTTGCCCTATTTTCTCATTTATGTTCTATTCCAATCCATCTCATCCATCATTAATTCAGAAGGCATGCTGTTTAAAGTGGATATGCATGACTTTGGGTGAGGAAGAAGCAAAATGCAGAAATTCTTGCAAAAATTAACCTGATTTTTTTCATAACAGTAAATGTGTATATTTTGTCTCCTCTATTTGCTCTTCTGACAGCCTGTGATGTCACTCATGTTTTCTCATGTCTTCATAGAAATGGTTCCACTATTACGCAAACACAACTGTCCCGTGGTCCACATACACGTGTTATTTTATATTCAGTGACGCATAGGAAGTCTATTGTTGAAATAACTGGTAGGACCCAGATTAGCTGCAATGTCCCGACCGTGGGAGTTACAATTTTATTTGTTTGTTTTTTGCAAGTATAAAGATTTATATATTTCCAGTTAGGTGTTTATTTTTTGTATTAAGGCAGTAATGCCAAGCCTTTAAGGCTAGCTGAGCACTATGTAAATGTTGTGTCAGTTATCCTTTGCTAGATTAAGGAACTGGTGCATATTTAGGATAACCTAAATATGAGCCTTTGGGACAGATTATCATCGTATTGAATATGAATTAGGATTTTCTTAAAGGGACACTCCAGGCACACAGACCACTTCACCTAATTGAAGTGGTCTGGGTGCTGTGCCCCTATTGCTGCACTGTAAAAAATTGCAGCTCCAGAAAAAACAGCAATGTTTACATTGCAGCTCTAAGTCTGCCCTCTGTGGCTGTCGAGGGACGTTGGCGCTGGATTCAGGTAAGTAGCTGAAGGGGTTTATTTTCCTGGCACTGGAGAGTCCCTCTAAACAAGGTGCTCTGAGAAACAGCACCTCCTAGTGTTCATGTGGGCCAATTAATCATTTTTCCTGTTGAGAAATAGTTCTTGACCATTTTGGGCAGGGACTTAAATATTGTAAATGGCATTAATTTGTCGACCCATTCTTCACTTCCAGAATTGGCTCGGGCCATGCATCTTTAATTTTATATGTTGCAAAATTAATTTTGCTGTCATTCTGCACATTTTTGTGTCAAAGCGGTCTCCGGTCTCCACTGCATTAGGTGCACTGCAATTGCATGGGGGCAAATTTGGGCTACAAAACACTTTGAAGGTTTTCCAGCAACCTCCTTTGCTATTATTAAACAATACCCATAATTCCCTGTCAGTTATGTAAATAACTTGTGAATATCACTATTTTATTAAATTTATATAAAATATAATTGCATCATTTTGTTGATCTTTTGTTTCAATGTCAAATCAATATGTATTTCACATCAGGATTGTTAATGTACATTCCCTTTTACATGGGCATTTATCATTTGTATGTTTACAGATCTGAGAACCTGTACAAGTTCTTCTGCAAAGCTATTTTTATATATACTTTCTGTGTATAGGACATGCTTTTTCATTAAATAATTTCCATGTCTTTTATTCTAGCTACTTGGTAACATTTGTAGATATTTTAGGAAAGATTATCCTTTTAAAAAAAAAAAAAAAATTTAATTGTATTGTTCAATTCATTACAGCAGTAGTTGCTGACATGACTAGGCAAGTATTTGTAAACTACGTTTCAAGCTGTGCATCATGGGAAATTGTGTCACAAATGCTTCTAATGTCACGGTTTGTCATCACTGCTTCAAAATTCCCTGTTTTACTTTGTATTTTAAATGGGTTTACATTCTTAAAGTGACACTATAGTCACCAGAAACATTACAGCTTAATGTAGTAGTTATGTTATGGTTTCTATAGCCTGTCCTGACTGTAGTATTGGGTGTGGGGAGGCGCAAGCACGGGGGGCACTGTAGTGCTAGGAATACCCCAGCCTATAGTTTACCTTTAACTGTTTTGACGGGGGCCCATTTATGTAATTGGTATTACCTTGGCTACCCATTTGTTAACTATAAAATAGCTTGGTGACCAATTCAGCTATATTATAGAAAATGTATTCTACAAACACGTTAAATATAGACTTCCTGATTTCTAAAGGGGTCCAAAGTGGAGTAGACTTTACCACTACAGTAAACAATATTTTGTTGGCAACTGCCTGGGGACTGATGAATATGATGTGCCTGTATGAGTGGAACCCACTATAATTGGATAGGGTCCCGACTAAGGGGTTAAATTACACTAATCTAGATATGGCATTTTTCCATTATTTTTATTTTTAAACAATCTCACTTTCCTAAGTTATCCATGAAAATTCCTTTCAATGTCAGCAGATAAAGAGGCTGAACGTAAACTAAATATTGCAAGCCACAGGCAGTCCAATACTGGCTAAATAACTGAAATCCAACTCATAGCTAGGATTGCACTTATTGAAACCATTCTATAGAATGCTCTCAAAGGCCCAGATCTAAGCACTATGTTTCCTTTTTTTATATATTGTTTTCTATAGCTCCGACAGGGATCTGAAAGCTTTAATTTGTTAAAGATGGGACCTGTACGATACAAGCAAACTCTTGTCGGGCCATATGGTGCACTGTATAACTTATTACCCTTCTATTTAATGGTCCTTTACTGCTGGGGCAGACCAGTAAATTGATTTTATAGGGAGGCTTTGCCTAGATTTCCCTTTAGCGGTATACGTTGTAACTGACTGCCTCATCTCGTGCTTTAATAAGACAGGTTCCAAGCTGGCTCACAGCCCTTTCCAGGAGCTGAGAAAAAAATATCCTTTTATGATAAACCTCCAGCCATTCATAACCCAAGTGTGATTTCTGTTTAATCACGGTCTATGCAAAGGGAAATGTGCTTGTGTGGTTTTTGTGTAAATAAAAGTGGTTGTTTCCAAAGTTTTGGAGAATTCTCTCTACCTGTTATGACTGTAACTTGTTAGTAGAAGACAGATGTGGATGAATTTTGAATAAAAACAGTTTTTATTTTAAATCTAGTTCTTGGCTTTTTTTTTTTTGCTTTTTTTTTTTTTCTCTCTATCCCTTGTTAGTTATACCCTTTCCTCTAGCCTTCGTTCATTACGATTTTGCAGCCTGTGCCGTTCTGCCCGAGTTACTATCTCTGAATCGCTCACATGTAGCGTTACAAGATCAAAACATTTCTTAAAAAGCTCTTATCGTAAATTTAAAGTCTCAATCCAGAGCCTTAGGTGTTGGATGCAATTTGCTACAGATTCATCTCTCTGTAGGCATTGTGTGTGTGTGTGTGTGTGTCTGTGTGTGTCTTATATATATATATATATATATATAGGTAGTTGTGAAGCAGAGTTCGTTTCCTTCCCTACAAGCTCTGAGTGCAGTACCTGACAAATTGCTGTAATTACCAACCCAATCAATGGCACCAGGGAGCCCAGCATGAAATATTTAAAACTGGCATTTTAGGCAAGCTATGAAAAAACAAATATTGTATGTGATATAAATGTTTAAAATAAATTAACATTTAGTTGACTATTCGATTGTTCCAACAACTCCACTTTAAAGCTCCCTTTTGTCAAAATGATGGAAACAATATTTTTAGAAATAAAGTGATATCCCATCTTGTACTTTGCTCTTTATCAAAGCTTAATCTCATGTGTTTATTGGCTGTTCTTCTAAAGAGATCTCACATGTTTGGGATTTATTATTTAATTATTTTTAATCCGCTGTGGTTTATTTTGGAAGTTGCCGGTCTCCTACGTGAAATCACTGTTGACTTCTGAATTGACCTCATGGATTTCCTCAGTTCGGGAACGCGCAGGTTTCCGGAACGGAGTTAACGTCTATGGGTACAATTTACCCATACCTCCTCATAGTGGTGATGTAACTTGACAAAGGCTGAGGTCAGAAAACACACTGCAACTCCATAGTTTTTTTTTTTTTTTCTTTCTGGTTCAATTCCTTGCAATTAACGTATGTAGCTTTAAAAAGATATGCAAAATGTTTTAATCTGATGTGCGTGTTATAAAATTGGATGCTAAGTACTTATTAGTTTTAATTCTCTACAAAAAAAACCTTAACTATAAATGACACCCCGAGACTTTAAACACTCAATATTTACATAATCCTTAGTAATTGGTCCAGCACAGAGTGTATGGCGCCACTCTACGCATTTAATAAAAAAATAAATTAATTGTGTGTAAAAAGACAGTTGATCACTGAAGATTGATCGATGTTGATGGTGCCTATTTTACAAAGGTATTTAAAGCGTTCAGACCTCACACCCAAGTACAAATTTGCTCCTACTTGCTAAGCAATGTCTTCTAAGCCCCCCTGAAGCTCCAGAATGATTAGCGTTGAGAAACTAAGCTTACTTTAAAAGCATTATTTACAGACTCTTGTGATGTAGTAGGGGGGAAAAGTGATCAGCCTTATTTCAGCTGCAAATTATCATGGGATGCGTAAGAGTGTGTGGAATTTTTAAGAAAAGTCATAGCATGTGAGCTATAACAAGCATCTGAATAGGTATGCGGCTACAATAATGGGGAGAGGGAAACACTCCTTTAGGGTAGGTTTCTTGCTATGAGCGAATAATCTCTACTGTCACGGGTGGCGGTACAGAAACCGGGACCCCTGAGTGCCTGATGAGAAGTGGGAGTCTTCAGTGTGGAAGTGGATTACAGGGCCCGGTGCAGGGTAACCGCACGCCCCCTGGTGTTGCGCACCAGCGTTTGTGCGGCCACAAACCAAGGCCCTTTTGCAGCTTAGCGGACCCCAGGAACTAGGAGCTTGATATGCAGACCTACCAGCAGTGGCGTACATACCAGGGTCACGGCTGCGACCGGGCCCGGCCCACCAGGGGGCCCGGCCGCCCCTGCGACCCCGTATGTACCCACAGGGCCAGCCTCTTCTCCTGGGGGGCCCAGGAGCCGGCCACCTCAGAGCCCCCCGAGGCTGGCCCTGCTGACCCCAGCGGGCGGGCCGGCGCGCGAGGGAGCACTTTCCCCTGTGTGCTCCTTTTTCCGCTCCCTCGCGCACCGCACTGATACCAGAGCCGGAAGATGACGTAATCTTCCGGCTCCGGCATCCCTACGCGGCGCGCGAGGGAGCTGAAGAGGAAGCACACAGGGGAAAGTGCTCCCTCGCGTGCCGGCCACCCAGACAGCCCGCTCGCCTGCCCGCCCAGGAGCCCAGCAGCACCACCACTGGACCCCAGGGAATCCCCCAGCACTCCAAAAGGTAAGGAGGCTGGGGGGATTCAATTTAAAAAAAAAAACATGTTAGTGTGTGTGTGTGGGTGTTAGTGTGTCTGTTATTGGGTGTGTCTGTTACTGAGTGTGTCTGATGTCTGTTAGTGAGTGTGTGTTTGTCAGTGAAAGTGTATGTTTTGTAAGTGTGTGTATGTATGTCTGTCGCTGAGTGTGTCTGTTAGCTAGTGTGTATGCGTCTGTTCGTGAGAGTGTGTGTCTTCAGCATTTACCTTTCTCCAGCGCCGGACTTCCTTGGCGCTGGGGATCCCGCCGCCTCTCCGCTCCGAATGCACATGCGCGGCAAGAGGCGCGTGCGCGCATTTAAACCGCCCATAGGAAAGCATTGCTCAATGCTTTCCTATGAACGTTCAGTGTCTTCTCACTGTGATTTTCACAGTGAGAATCGCAGAATCTCTTCTAGCGGCTGTCAATGAGACAGCCATCAGAGGCTGGATTAACCCTCAGTGAAACATAGCCGTTTCTCTGAAACAGCTATGTTTTCAGCTGCAGGGTTAAAACTAGAGAGACCTGGCACCCAGACCACTTCATTGAGCTGATGTGATCTGGGTGTCTGTAGTGGTCCTTTAGGTGTGTGTGCAGCATACCGCATTCGCAGGGTCGCAGCCCTGCGACCAGGTGCCCGCCGCCATGTGTGGCCCCGACCCAAGTAGGCGCGGGGGAGGGGGCACGGATCAATTTTTGCACCGGGGCCCCATGGGTCATTTGTACGCCACTGCCACTGCCTCTGCAGCAGACATGTATCCAGTACAGAAACAAGGCAAGGCTAGTGGCCCCGACCCAAGTAGGCGCGGGGGAGGGGGCACGGATCAATTTTTGCACCGGGGCCCCATGGGTCATTTGTACGCCACTGCCACTGCCTCTGCAGCAGACCTGTATCCAGTACAGAAACAAGGCTAGTCACAGTCACCAAACATGAAAACAAGTAGAACCCAGAACCAGAGAAGGATAGGAAGCTAAACCCAGAACATGTACACAATACATAAGGGAACATTAACTAAACAGGGGCAGGACAGGACTGTACATGGACATGGGTACAGGTCCTACACTGCCTAATGTTCGCTAAAAGAACCATACTAAACCACAATAGCACTTACCTGCAAGAAATGGCAGAGACTTGAAACACTGCCTGCAGGACACTGAAACAAAAGGAAAATGGAAAACAAACGGGTGTGGCAACATAAAACAAACATATAAATGAATTCAGTAGACTGGGAATTCCAGGGACGGAATAATGGAATGAACCCAGAAAACCCAGCATAAGGAAAACCAGACATAGAATAGAAAACCAGAAAAACTAAACAAGAATTGTAAAAAGAGTACTGGATACCAGAAGCCATCACCAGACTGATCCGCAGAACAAGGCATGATGTGACCAGAGCAAGATATAAGGCGACACAAAAATACAATAGAATATCACAATACACAGTCTAAACATTATCCAAGATATAATAAGTATCACGATATCTCAAGAAAGGAATATCAGAGATACGATAACTTTAATAAACACCCAAGGGGTAATACTAAGCCATACCACCCATCCCCAGTAAGACGACCTAAATACAGCAGCTACAGTCAAGCTGTACAGTCAAATATTCCTGAAAGAAATGACCGAAAATCAGTACCCACAACATATGTGTCAAATAGAACAGAGAGACAACCACACACCTCTAGGGTAGATATAGGTAATAAACCAGACATATTTAGAACAGAACATTCACCTTCTTTTTTATGGAAGGACCCAATCTCAGAGAGACTAAAACAATCCCGACATATCAAAATTTGGGAGTCCCCAGGCAAACGTCAGAGGTCATCAACTCAAGAAAGAGACATAGAAAGAGAGGAAAACACACACAGAGAAAAGAGGGGGAGAAAATAACAACAGAAGGAATTTTTAATTTAACTGATACACAATTACCCAAAGAACAAATGGAGATACTCCAAAAAGGTTTAAAATTCGCCCCCACAGTCGACATTAATAAATTTGATTTTTATATTGATATTAATAAATTTATTAGACAATTATGCTTAAAGAAATTCTTTTTTAATAAAGAGGACAGACCCAGTGAAAACACTTTGTCAGAATATATACATACGGACTTAAAAGCTAAATCCAACTTTTTTCCGAAACACTTAATATCAGATGAAATAAAAGCTTTTGAACTAATGGTAATGAAAGAAGTGAAACAAATAAAGCCGTTAAACAAATACCATCAAAATATGTCTAGAAAGGAAAGGGGAGCAATGAAAGACTTACAACAAAACAAAGAGATAGTAATTAAACCAGCTGATAAAGGTGGGGGGGTGGTGGTCATTCCAAAAAACAAATATCTTTTAGAAGCTGAGCGAATACTTGCAGATCGAGATACATATATAATACTAGACAAAAATCCAACTGAAATGGTGAAGACGAAGTTTGACAATTATATATCTAAAGGACTAGAGAATGGCATTCTGACTTCGCAGGAAGCTAAATACCTTACCACTCCCCACCCAATAATGCCCGTATATTACCATCTCCCTAAAATACATAAAAACAAAGCCAACCCCCCAGGACGACCTATAATATCGGGAGTCAACTCCGTTTCAGCAAAAATCTCGGAATATCTAGACCATCTCCTACAACCATTAGTTGTTCAAAATCCAGCTTATTTGAAGGACACGATTCATATTCTACAAATCTTAGAAACCACTTTATGGCAAGAAGGTAACCTGTTAGTCACATGTGATGTGACATCCCTATATAGTATCATACCACACG